GCCGTCAGTTTGATGGTGAAGTGATGAAAAAATGCCATTGACAGAGACTCTAAATGTTCGTGAAGTTAAGAAATTTTGTATAAAATTAAAAATATTACCCTTTATGTTATAATGAGAAAATTTCTTCAGTATAGATTCCCTGCTAATTGTATCAAAAGCACCTTCAATATCAAACACCGCTGCAATGACTTCTTGTCTCTTATTGAAGGCATCGGAAATATGGCCTTGGAGAAGTACAAGATTGTCTTGAGTAGAGCGATTTCGTCGAAACCCTGACTGTTCTTTTGGAATTATATTATATTTGTTGAAAAACCACGTAAGACGTTTGTTGATCATTTTTTCAAAGATTTTGCAGATGGTACATGTTAGAGATATTGGTCGATAAGCGCTGGGTGATGAGCGTGATATGTTAGGCTTTTTAATGGGTATTATAATTGAGGTTTGCCACTGTTTAGGAAACTTGTTAGATGACCAGATTAAGTTAAGCATTTCAAGAAGCTTAAGCTGACCTAAGCTAGATAGTTTTTTTATAAAAATGTAAGGAATATCGTCGGGGCCGGAAGCAGTGTTCTTAAGAGTTTTAATAACCGATGTAAGTTCTATGTAAGAGAATTGGGAATTTAAGTAATCGATATCTTTGACAGTTGCCGAAGAAGTTGGGAAGGGGGCATCGGTTATTGGCTCGATTTGAGAGCATTTTATTTTGCTTTTAAATTTTTTGTCGAAGTGACTGGCTAAGGCCTCACCAATTTCTTGACTGTCACTTATTACATTATCATTCAAAATTAGACTAGATATTTTAGTATTTGTATTGATTCCTTGAATTTGTCTTATTTTTTTCCAAAGAATAGTAGGACTGGTGTTTTCATTGATAGAAGATACGTAGTTTCTCCATGACGATTTTTTACTTTGTTTTATAGTAAACCTCGACCTGGCTCTAGCTTTTTTTAATTCTGTGAGATTTTCTGGTGTTTTGTTTTTCCGATATACTCTAAGTGCCACCTTATGTTGTTCTACGGAGATTTTGCAGGAATTATTCCACCAAGGAACCCTTTTATGTTTGTGTGAAATAGAATTTTTGCCAATATGCAAATTGGCAGCTGAGAGAATCGTGTTTGTGACTAATGATAAATTGTAGTCAATATTATTGGATAGTGTGAGAAAAGGTAAGGTGGTATCTGTTTTAGCAGTGTAGCTTAGCCAGTCAGCATTTTTGAGTTGCCAGTAGCTTCTTGATATAGTTTGTATAGAGTTGGAGATATCAGTGGATATAAATATAGGGTAATGATTGCTATCGTAAAGATCCTCAGCGACTTTCCAATTCAGTAAAGGTGCAGATTTTGGATCACTAAAGCTAAGATCTATAGAAGAAAATGTGCCAGAGGAGAAATTCAAGTGTGTACTAGAGCCTGTATTTAGAAGACAGGAATCTGTACAATTAATTACGTTTTCAACAGTTTTACCTTTGTTTGATGTGCTATTGGAACCCCACATAGGGTTGTGAGCGTTGAAATCGCCAACAAGAATGTATGGAGAGGGGAGCTGGTAAATGAGGTTTAGAAGTTCTATTTCCTTTAGAGAGTGATTAGGTGGAATGTATACGCTACAAATAGTAATCTTATTAGGACACCAAGTGGTTATGGCGATAGCCTCAAGTTCAGTGGTGAGAGGAAGGTGCGAAGAAAATAGTTCATTGGAAATAAAAATTGAAATTCCACCACTGGCTCTGTTGCAGTCAGTTCGAATATAATGATATCCTTCAAAATTCTTTAGTTTAGGAAGTTTTGTAATTTTTGAGTTGGTTTCTTGTAAACATATGATTTCAGGTTGTTCTTCGATAGCTAATTGCTGGATTCTTTCTATGCGAGGAAAGAAACCATCGCAATTCCATTGAATTATTTTGAATGGAATTTTTAAGTGAGATAAGTGTGGGACTACTGTAAGGATTGTTGAGAGCGTTGAGAAATAGGAGCGTTAAATTCATCATCAGTTAGGTAATCGGATGATGCACTCAAATTGTCAGAGTCTTCAGGATTAAGCTGTTTTTTTAATTTTTTTTTGCAATCTTGTTATTCGGTTTTTAAAGGATCTCTCTTTTGTTTGTGAATGAAGAAGAGACAAATCATTAAGCAATCCTTGGATATTGGAAGTGAAATTAAAAGCTTCTGTAAGTGGGTCTGGTATGCCATAGGTAGTTTCTAGGAAAGCTATAAATTGATTTTCAGTAAGAGTTAGTTCGGATAAGTTATTTTTATAGATAGCGTGGACTGCATTATAAGAAATGGGTGTCAATTTATGTTCTTCTATTATTATGTTACTATTGTTTTACTTTTTTTCTTTTGCGGCTTGCTGTCAGAATTAATGGTAGATTTTACAGATAAGGGGGGAGGCATTTGATTGATAGTTGGGTCTGGAGTAGGAGCTGGAGAAAGTTGAGAAGGAGTGCCAGCATTACTGTCACTGGATATAGCCCGTTTCTGTCTCTGTACTGGAGGGGATGCTACCTGTGTAACTAAGGGGATGCTTTATGCCAGATTATTTGTAGTTTCAGAGTAAGATGTGGATGGTGGATTGATTTGATTGGGAGTGCATTCTGGTATCGTTGTATTTGAGGGTATGGATACGGAGGTAGTGGGAGAGGGAAGTTCAGATTGGGCTACAGAAATTGGTTCATTGGTACAAGTTTCCGCAGTATGACCACCTTGTTTACATAAAAAACATTCTAATTTGTCAGTAGACACAAATATTCGATATGAAGTGTTGTCATGAGTTAATAAAAGAGAGGTCTGGACTGAGAAGTTTTCTTTATCCGGAATAAGGTATGACACTCTTCGGAAGCTCATTATATGTGCATATGCATCACCTAGCGAACCACATTTCACGAATGATACAGGAGAGACTATCTGTAAACCGATACTTTTTAAAGCTTCTTCAATAGTGCTGTGAGGTATCGTGGGAGATACATTTGATATGAGAATACGCTTAGCAGGTGTTATAAGTCTACGGATAGGAACAATTGTTGAGTTAATAGTGACACTTTGGTGGGCACTGAGAAGATCGTCGATTAGTTTAACAGAGTTTAAATAAATACAAATACGGTTATTGGAGATTCGAGACGCAAAGATGATGTTTTTAGGGGTAACGATGTCTCCTATAGCTTTTATGTACTGAAATAGTATGTAAGAAGACATTAGGAAGAGCATGTAAGATAATAGCTTGATTTTTATGAGGAAACGTAGGAGGTGGAGGTTTAGATAATGTGGCAGCAACATAAGACATAGTATTATTGATTGTGTTATTTTGTGAGGTAATTTGATTGGTAATTGAGATCATTTTAGTGAGCGGTTCTGGATACCAAAACCACTACACATTAATTTTTATTATTTATGCATCAGACGTCCTAGAGAGACTCTGTGGATAAAAGGATTAAAAATAACAGATTACCTGAATTTTGTAACGCCACTGGAAAGTCAAATTTACCAATGCACTTTTGCACTATTAACGTTAAATTATTGTTTCGGTTAAATTGTCACATATCGCTTTGTATTTAAACAAATAACGAAATAACGATGTCCATTGATAAGAAAACAATAACAAGAAAAACTAACACGTTTTTACTGATAACAACTATGGTTGCTAGGATCGCCTGAGTTAATACGACTTTACTCGTCGGCTGCTTAATTTGGAATGTATTACATTATTTGATAAACGTGTTATTTGACAATAATATAAATAAATAATATTAGTCCTTACCTATGTACTAACGAACTGATAATAAAAGTATAACATAGCGGTAACAAGAGATAAATCCAACACATCTAAATTTTCACTAAGAAATGACATATTGAATAAACACTTCTACCTTAAACTAACACCCGAATGTCTATTTATAAATAATATCATATACACAGAAAGATAAGGTGATCTAAAAATAGATCACTGAGCGTTAATGTCCCAGAAGAGACATTTTTTGGTGTTTAACAGTATTTAGCAATTCTCCATCTTTGTTGACATTCCTTAGTACTTCCTCATTAGTTTTTCTTGCTATCCAAGGTATCTGCAGCATCCGTCTATGAATCCGCATTTCTGATGCGTCAATTCTGTTAATGCTTGATACTTTTAGTGCCCACACTTCCGCTCCATACAAAAGTACAGACCAAAACTAGCACTTAACCATTCTTTGTCTTAATTTTGTTCCTTATTAATTTATGGATTTCTCTGTATTCCTCTGGGTTTTGGTTTCTACATTTTCTTCTTTGTTCATTTCCGTTATTTCTTGAGTCATCCAAGGTTTGTGGCTTTCTTCTTTCTTTTGTAGACTCTGTAGTTCTTAATAATATGCTGTTATTTATCCTCACGGGACCCCCCATCGATGTCTCTAGAGCCCAACCAATTCCGAACTACTTACTTGTTAATTTTTAACACCGTCATCCGATGGCGCATCTACAATTTTCATGTGGGAGAGGGGTTTTGATTAGGCACCGAAATTTTTTTTATGCTACCTCCATTTTAAGTCCTTAAAATTTGTGAGTGACAGTATCGGGATAGTGCTCTGAGGAGGGGTTTAACCCCCAAAACCCTCCTGAGTGCGCCACTGTCGTCAAGTTATTGTTTTTTTGTATGTATATTTCTACGAGTAGCTGATCTCTTTGGCCGCTCTCATCAGTAATGAACATATTTCTCTCGCCAATTCTCTCTTGGATACAAGATATTAATGTCATCGGCATATTTGGCGAGTTATACTGATCTGTTTGTTATAAGATTGGCTTTTATGACATTTCCTAATATGTCATAAGATGAACGTTGGAAGTAAATGAGATGTAGACCCTATAATCATCGTATTTTATTTTTAAAAAATCTCCAATGCGACAACAGTATAAAAAGTACAATAAAAACAGTCTCATCACCAACAATCTTCTCACCACACGTTATTCTATCCAGAGACAGATTATTTTCCAGTAATCTTCACTATTGAACATCAACAGGACAAGTCATTCAAGCTACGATAAAACTATTGGATGTTGCAGTCTATGTGCTTTAAGACAGTCTATGGAACAGAATAGATTCTGTAAGTATTCAAATGGTACTTTTCCGGCTATATCTGCGCCGCATAAAAAGCATCGTTTGGTAACCACGCCCTGTTGGTTGAGTATCCGCCTTTCGGCCGCTAGCGCCCTCTGCAATAGATAAAAATGTAATAAGAAAAACATTTATTCTTTATTTTTAAATATGAAAAAATATATTTTCAAGCAACTTTTGTTAAGAAACAATAAAAATAATTCTAAAATTTAAAAGTGGCAAGATGTTTACTGCACCAATGTTCTGTTTTAGGGTGTTAGTTCTCCTTGTGTCTTCGCGTACTATGTTTCTGTTTTTTATGTATTTTACTTTTATAACGGTCTGACAACTTCCACTAAATTAAATTAAGTAACCATCACTCGTCTCAGCCTTAAAAAATAGTTTCTTAACTTAAATCATAAACACCTCCTCCAACTATCGATGTGAGAAAAAGTATATTCCCCATAAACATTCTCTTGACCTAATTAAGCGTATAGTATACTTACTACAAACCGCTTTCCTTATACCGTTATCGATTACGTAACTTTATCAGGAAACATATCAAGACAATAATGCACAATTTTACAACATGAATCGAACTGTAAGGATACAGTTTGATTGACAAACTGGTTCATATTAGAAGTGAATGAACATCATTGGTGCGAGTAGTCTCCCGTGGGGCAAGCCTTTTTTCGGTTCCTCCACCTGCTCTTCTTACCATTTAGGGACGAAGAACCGCCTATTCTGCAGTACAGATGCGATTAGCTTTTTTAGATTAATGTTTCTAGTGGTTTTGAAGATCATTCATAAGAGCATGTGGTTTGCGGTGTCGTAAGCCGCCGACAAATCAAAACAAAGCCACACCAGGAATCCGTTTTTTGCACGTAGCCACTCTCTTTGTACTCAATGCAAGTGCTTGTGCAGTGCATAAATTTGCGGACCTGAATCCGGTTTACTGAAAGATTATATTCTGTTCGATAATCTTTTCAACGCATTGCATTATCATTCGTTAAAACAACTTAAGTAAGTTTTATAGCAGCGATACCGATCTGTAACTTCTTGGTTCTGCTGGATCTTTCCCAGGTTTCAGTAAGACACCAGTTGGGATTTCGGCCAGAGCTGTAGTATCTTCTTCTTGGTTCTCACACATGTGTTGTGTATCTTCAGCATCTATAGCATAGTACGGGATCGTGGGATTCGAGGGGCATGATGTGTTTGGTGCATATTGTTATACATCTATACCAGCAACCATTCTATTTATTAATTGATTAATGTTAATATATCAAAAATAGTGTTATAGTTTAAAGAAATAGACAACATGCCACATTTCAAATAATTAATAATTTTGATGTTTTGTGGCAAATAGATTTTGTCTGATGCTATGATACCCCCCCCCCGCACATACACACAATGTATTTGCTCGTATGGTGTTAGTACAGTCGCTATTGAGAACAGGGTGGTGGGTGCAGACGGAAACCTTAACGTTTTTTCAATAGTCCAGCATATCCAACTTGATCGAAGAATTTTTTTATTGTTTATGTTAGATTTAATTTGTGTGTGACGATTTCAGTTAATGCTGTTGTCGTTGAGTGATCTTCTAGGAAGTCGAATTGAGAATTGTGGATAATATTGTTGGTCGTTGTAAATTCTAAAGTCTATCTTTTCAGTAGACTTTATCTAGAATGTTAAGAAGAGAAATGGGCCTTTACCTAGAAAAATGGGTGTAGACGTCAAGAGTCTAGAATGGTCAAAGATTTGCCCTATTTTGGGAGCATCTAGGCTACATTCCAAAAGTAGCAGAGATTCAAAGAAGCGTTGAACTTTTCATCAGATTAAAGGTGATGCTCGGTGGCAGTTGGTTCGTGCAGTTTCTGGGGATGTTGTCAGGACTTAGTGGCTTAGTGCTATCTAAATGGCAGATGCTTTCTATTGTGTGTTGATTTCAAGAGGCCGTAAATAAAATATTATGGTTTTCCTGTTGTTTGTGGTGAACTTCGAGGATCTTTTATTACTACTATATTTCGAGGATCTACTTAAGGTGTTATTTAAAAGCGTATGCCACTGATTTAAGTAGAACGAAAAAACGTATCAACAAAAACGATACTGAACCACCGATATCCTGACTCAAAACAATAGAGCCACTGAAACAAATGAATATAAAAGGACTAGCCAGCAAAATAAAAGTAACAGTAACAACATCGGTTAAGAAAGTATGCTCAAACACAAAAACAATCACTTACAAGTCAACACAACTAAATAACTCCAAGAAAGACGAGACAGAACAGATCGAACCTCTGATAGCTTCATAACTTTGAATAAAAACGTGAAGAAAAGAAATTAGGAATGATCATATAAACTATACTTATGAACTAATAAAGGATACAATACGAGATAATTACAACATAAAAGTATTGAAAGCAAAAACTAAAATGGCACAAAAAAAATACAATTGAAGAGCTTATTGCAACATAATGGTAAGCCACAATGTTACAGAATTCTATTTTATTGCATTATTTATATAAAAAAACCTGTATTCACCTACAGAAAAATTATTGAGTGTTTATTGCAGTAGATGGCGGCGTTATTGCTGAATCGTTTTATTCCAATCACCCGTTTCTGTTCACTTTTTCTCGTAAAACGTGGTAAGCCTTATAAAAATGGCGTCGACTTCACGTATACGTGCTGAATTAAGTGCAGTTTTAAGAGAAAATAGCAGTTTAAATGTAAGTTTTATTGACGATAGTGATGATAGTGTAGCAGACAAAGACTACAGGCATAGTAGCGATGATTTTTCGTCTAAATCTATTGAGGTATGAAAATATAGAGGCATAAACATTTTGGAATATTCATAAATTCTAGAGTCTAATACAGTCATATTTTTTGTATTCTAGGATGAATTGCAGGAACTTATACCTATGGTTTTTGTAGGTAACGAGGTAAATCAGAGAAGAAAAAAACCATCCAGATGGAGACAAAGAAATGAGGAAAACTATTATCGAAATGAAAGAAAAAGAACTTGTAATTTGGGACAAGAGTATGCTTTGAAAATAACTACGACAATTTTTAGTTTACTAAAACATTCTAGTTTTCTATGATATAGATACAATAGACATTCTACCTTCAAAACACGTACGCCTCTTTGGGAGCATCAGAGTAAAAAATAAGAATAAATCGTACAAAAAAAAACCAGAAGAGTAACATTTCTAGAAGAAAATACATTGCTGATTATCTGGTTAATGTAGGAGATGAGGAGATTAAAGTATGCAGGACTGAATTTCTAAGCGTTCATGGTCTTGAAAAATCTCGTGAAAGAATTGAGAATATTTATAAAATAAGGACAAACGGGGCTATGGTTTCTATTCCTGTTATGAGAGGTAAGCACAAAAACAGACCCAATAAACTTTCGGAGGCACAGATTCAGTAAGTAAAAGTTTATACTGAATCTATTCTTAAATACCAAAGTCACTACACCAGAGCCAACAATATGAAGAAGAAATATCTGAACTGCGATATGACAGTTACAGGACTGTATAATTTTTATGTACCCTGGTGTAGAGAACTGAATATTACGTCAGTTAAAGAAAGTGCATACAGAAAAATATTTTGTACTGAATATAACATAGGGTTTAAACTAGCTTGATCTCATACTTGTAAGACTTGTGATGAGACGGTCATCAGGATAAAGACAGTAAAAGACGCTAACAATACAAATCAAGAAAAAGAGTTAACTACTTTATTGAATTTACACATAGCTCGTGATGATGCAATGCAAATTATGATAAAAACTGACAAAAAAAAACGAATGAATTACAAACAAGTTAAAATTAGTAATCTCGTTTGACTTACAGCAAAGTAGGCCTTTTCAAAAATAAACCACTGCTCCTGCATTTTATTGTAGAAATATTTGGCTTTATAACTTAAGTATCAACGACTGTACCAACGACAAGGGATACATGTACTTATGGACCGAAGATCAAGCTAAGCGCGGAGCGGATGAGATTACTTCTGCTGTGATGAAATTTTTAGAGAATAAGTCATGTTATGAAGAGCTCGTTGTTTTTGCCTACAACTGTCCAGGTCAGAACAAGAACTGGCAATTAATGACTGTTTGGTTGCAGTTAGTCAAGAAAAAGAAACTTAAACAAATAACACATCATTTGCTGATTAGTGGTATTCTATTATGCCATCAGACCGGGATTTTGCTCAAATTGATAACCGCCGGAGAAACCGTGCACCACTTATTTATTCGCCAGAAGGTTGGGCAGATATTATTATATATATATAAGATATTATTTATCAAATTATTCTCGACCGTACTGTGTTAAATATTATTTGTAGTCTCAGCAATTGGTCTGTATGAAATAAAACTAATTTGTTATTTCTCAATATTTCGTCACAATTTTGTGACTTCTTCAGGAGAAAACTGTAAATTTATTATAATTATTATATGTAAACAAAATGAATATTTCAATACTTACAACTTAAGATTAAAAATTTAAATTTTGATAACATATCCAATTAGATAAATGACATTTTTTGATTTTAATTTTATTTGGGAGTTATGGCAACCGCAATATTTTATAGAGTGAATTCCCATTGCTGAGACTACAAATAATATATAAGATATTATATATAAGCAAATAAAAAGAATCTTTTTGTTGTTACGCAGATGACACAGACTGATTTTTACAGTTTTGAACCTCTTCTTCTCCTCCTAAGTGCCTTCTCTGTTGAGGTTGGCCTCTTCTAAATGTTAATAAAACCCACATTTTCCTGACAGACAGAGCTTAGCTTTTTCTGGAACATACAGCTTTCAATTTAAATCACAAAATATTGGGTAATTTTTTGTCAAACATAGTGTCAATGGAGAATATCAAGAAAGTAATGTGATAAGAAAAGGCAAACCTGTAACAATAGAGTTTTCAAACATTCAGAAAATACAGCATCTGAAAATTGCAAAAAGTGAAATAAAAAATATAAAAAGCTTATTATCTTATATTCCGCCAGTCTACCATATTTTTTATAATCAGCTAAAAGAAGCTACTGACAATGATAATGAAGAAGTGGAAATTATAGATATATATTTTTATTTTTTTTTTTTTTCAATATAGTGTTATGAGTTTTTAAATCGAAGGAGATGTTAAGCCCCATTTTTTTTAAAACTTATTTGTTTTTTTCTGTAAAATAATAAATGTTTATGGATTTTAATGACTAACACAATCAAATGACAAGAGTTATGGTTTCATAAAGTTAACTCAATATTTTTAAGATTTTTTTAAAACTTAAAATTTCTTATTTTGTGGCTTGGTGATTGTAGATTTTCAAAAAGCATTAAACTCCATCGATTTATGGGCTGTGCTAGAATCTCTAGAAGACGCACGTGTAGATTCAACTAACGCAATTTAAAACACATATGAGCATGCAATCATGCAAATAAAGCTGGACGAATGCACAAACACGAATCATATAAAATTACAATGGGGAGTGAGACAACGGAACACCATTTATTCCAAATTATTCAGTCCTACTCTCGAAGATACTTTTAAGAAATTAGAATGGAATTACAAGAGTATAAACATCGATTAATCATACTTAAACCATTTAAGGTTTTCAGGTGATATAGTTTTAATGTTCTTTTGCTTATTGCGCCGTCTCCTTTCGAAGGTTGACGATCTAAATGGCAATTGTAGCTTTGGATGCTACTGTACGAAAGATTTCTGTGGATAAGCGGTCAAATCATCTCAGGTCTTTCAGCCACGAATTCTGGCGTCTTCCCAACTGATCTTTTGCACTGAACTTTACCTTCCAATATGATTGGGAGTAATTCATACCTTTTACCTCTCAATAAATGACCCAAGTATTGTGTTTTTCTCTCTTTGATTATGCTGAGTAATTCTTTTTGGTTACTCATGCGCCGAAATACCTCACCATTGCTAACTTTTGTATCTATGGAATTCTCAGCATCCGTCTGTATATATACATTTCAAAATTTTACTAGCAGAAAATATCCAAGTACTAAACGTAATGTTTAAAACAACAATTAAATTAAAATTCCGGAGCGGTAGTCTTAAAAGCTTACGGCTCCGTCTTCGCTCTAGAACGGTAGCGGTAACCTACCGCTACCCTTTTAGAAAAACCAAAAATATGAGACTAACAATGAATATAGATAAAACCAAATACATGATGATCACGAAAACCCCTGTTGACAACATACATCTGCCATTAAAGGGTAAACCAAAAGAGGATCGACAAGTATAAATACCTCGGAGCAATTATAAACTCACAGTTGAGGATGAGGAGATAAAGCTTAGAATTGAAATAACTCAAAAAGGATTTATAAAGTCAATGTTTACAAATAAGAAATTGAGTATGACTATCAGATTGAGCTTCGTCGAATGTTATGTATGGCAACTGCCATATGGAGTGCATGCCTTGGACTGCAAAAGTCTCAGACGAAGAAGTGTTAAGACGAATTGGAGAATTGGACATGGCAGAAAGTTTATGAACACAATGAAAATACTCTCACTCTCACACATACTTCGAAACGATAAATACTCTCTTCTACATGTCATTATGCAAGAAGGGAAGAAAAGGCTTGGGAAAAACGAAGAAATCTTGGTTGAGGAATATCAGAGATTGGACTAACCTCAGTGTTGAACCGATATTTCACGTTTTTCCCAAAGATAGGGAAGCATTTAAAGAAGTGATCGCACATTCAACATTCGTTAGAAGATGGCACAATAAGAAGAAGACTTAAAAATGAACTACAGTAAAACAAAAATAATGTGCCAGGACCAGGCATGGTCCTCTTTCGGTAAACTAACATATATCTTGAAAACCAACTGCATTTCTATAATCTTAAAAAAGAAGTATAACACGTGCATACTATCTGTTTGTACCTATGGATTGTAGACGTAGCCCTGACCAGGAAATCTGCTAAACAACGCAAAGGGGATATAACGAAACATACTTGGAATATCACTGAGCATCACGATTAGAAACACCGAGATAAGTCGTAGAACGAAGATCAGAGATATCTTGGAAGGAACAACAAAAATGAAATGGCGATAACAGATGAGCATGAGAATCCTAGAAGACCAAGGGGAACAACGAGAAGCATGGGAAGAGCTGAGAAGAGATGGGTAAACAATGGCAAACAGTAGATTAGATTGGCGCAAGATAGAGAAAGATAAAAGCAATTGGGAGAGAAAGAGATAAGGGTTTAATGTTTTTTTAAGAATTTCCTCCAACATTCTCCGCCGGTCCCCTAACAATACTGCTTTTTTGACATGATTGAATTATTTCTCTAAATTTGTTTTAGTTTTTTTCTTTGAGTTCAAGATTTACTTAGATCAAGATCAAGATCACTGATATCACTTCTTCTTGGTCTGCATTCATGTTTTTACAATGAGAATTTATTTAAATGATGCGTTTAAAAACGTTACCAATTACTATCAATATTTAATATAGAAATAGTTTACATTTGTGTATCAAAATAGGTGTGCATCAAATCATTTTTTAAGTTGTTATAATACACATTCTTCATGAAAATGGGTAACTCTAGACTTTTGACACTTCTGACGACATTTATTTCATCTACTTTTATCATTACTCTTTAATTTAGTTAAATATTTATTAGATATTACTTCCTCACTTTTTTCACTATTATCAAGAAGTCTTTTATTAAAGTATCGCTCCTGAGATTGGTATACCACGATTTGCAAACCAGTATAGTTTACTATTATATCTAACATTAAATGTTAGAATGCTAGAATATAAAATAATTTTTATTAAAGTTACTTACCTTTTCCCTGTCACTCAATTTCAAAAACCTCTCCTTTTGTTCTTCTTCCTTTCTTTTGATCTCGTTCTCCTTTTTCTTTTCTTTTTCTTTCTCCCTCTTTACTTTACGCATGGCCTTTTTCTTATCTGCCATTTCCTCATTCGTTAGGGCGTTAACAGGAATCTGTGCCTAAAACATTGCAGATCATAACTAATTATTCCATTCTCGGAGAATTTATCGAAAATTTATGCAAAGTTGAAAATAGATATAATTTGGAAAAAACAAGACTAAGTACTGCAAAAATATTATTTTATTTTCCGGATTCATAGTCCGTAATCTGGAATTATTTTTTTTTCTGAAGTTTGTAACTGTGGATGTTATAGAAGGCGTTGTGGCGTTGTTTTAACGGGCGGAACTGTCTACCATTCACTGATAGTTCTTCCTGAATGTGTCGATCTGCTCTGATCTATAAATTTGTATTGTAACTTTCGGTGCATATGGAAAGAGGGTTTGTAGCTCTGCGATCCATATCATATTTAGATACAGTCCCTGCTATCACAGTTAACTCTTAATCAGTAAGGTGAAAAAATATTACACAAGGTACATTCTAGAAAGGTTTTTATATTATATACTAGATATATGTACTAACAATATCGTTATTGTGGCAAATACTAAAAATATAAATTTAGAAGAAGTACATTTATTTCAAATTGATTTGGGCATCCTAAATGCGACAAAAATAATAATAATGTTTTAACGAATTTTCATTTACAATAAACTAAATAACATAACTTAAAGCACATAACCAAAACATTGAGCAAATAAATATTTGGTCATGTCTTATATTAAATTATGGAACAAAACATGCTTTGCGTTTATCTCACACCGATTTAACATTTTCGTTTGCCATGTTTGCTACTGATTTATCAAGAATTGTACCGATAATTCGCTACCCGAAGCTAGCGAGGTATACGTGGATTTGTTAAATTAACGTCGCTCCAAATGTTCACGAACCGATTACGCTGCCACATTATTAGTAAACACAGATGTTAGTGTTACTTCTTTACTGCGTTTAAAAAATTGGTGTACAATATGAGTTAACCACAGAAATATCCAGGACACGAAAAAATATTTTGTAACACAAACGGAATTGTGCAGTCTCATAGACTGAATTGAAACTTACTATATTCATAGTTTAAAGTCACAAAATAATTGAGGGGCTGAGAGGAAAAGTGGTACAAGTGACATTTTGTATAAAAGTGAGATATGTGCATGAGTGGCTAGAGGATGTTGAGATTTATTAATATAAAAATGGTACAAGTACAAAACACACTACAGTACGGACATCTGTATGTGAGAAGTAAAAGCTCTCACCAATTTCTGGTAATGGTTTTCTGTATAAAGGTCGATTCTCACTATACGTTCCGTTTACTTTCCATACCCGTTCCATATACCTCCCATTATTTTAACCACCATTCTCAGTAGACGTGGCGTTTACTTTACGTTTACGTTCTGTTTGGTAACATTTGATTCCAAGTTTTTAAATGGAATACGCTTATTTTTTCCTGCTTGATAAAATGTGGTCTGAAGAAAATTTAATGATAACAGCTATTATTAAGGATGAAGAAAATAATTTAAATAAAAAAATGAAACGGAAATATTGGATACATAATTTATGTTGAAACATAGAAATACTGATGGAGAATACATAACTTTGTTTAAAGAACTTATGGATGACGATACTAAATTCTTTGAATAGTTTTGAATGCCAAGATTCAAGTTCTTCGAAAAACTGTCGTCTATTGAAGGAACTAATAACAAGAAAGGATACTAGATTCAGGGAATCGATTAAAGCTAAGCAAAAACTGTGTTTTTGTTTAAGATAAGTTTATTATTTTTTATAATATTATTTTTACAAATTATTATACAAAACTGTTAACAACAATTAACATGAGCTATCCTCATCATAAGAGTATGTTGTGAGATAAGACCCTACCGAAGTTGAAGGTGAGGGTGATGATGGAGGTATATAAAACGCAGGCTTCATTGGGGTAGCAGCCTATCCACCATCATTTTGATGTAAAAATGCCGAAATTTATGGTTGGGATGTTGATGGAGGTATATACGGGGTAAGCATAATTGGGGAAGCACCCTGTCCACCACCATTATGATGTAAAAAAGATTGGCTGTATGGAACTGATGGTTGACCTTGCATTTGTAAAATTCTAGTTGTTGAAATAGATTGAAAATTTTGTTTTCTGCAATATTCCGATAAAATGGAATAAACTTTTTGACTTTTTCAGCAATGCTCTGAAAAAATACAGCAGTTGTGTCCGGTTTTAGAACCCGACGATTTTCTTCAGTTTCCTGTTTTCTAATGAGATATTTCATAAGCTCTGAACTTGCAGAAACCTCATGGTTTGCTACTTTTGAAGTTTTTTACTGAAAACTATCTTTGGCTTCTTTATTGGAGTTGATTCGTTTTCATCTCTGGATGTTAATGGAGTATCTTGCGCTGTTTCGGCCGTGTCTTCACTATTATTATTATTTTCTATTTGCCGTGACGAATTCATATGACTTGTACCAGTTGAAGAATCTACGATGTTACTTATTATATCTCTTTGACGTACGTTTATTTCTAAAAAACTCATTTTAATGGCATATCGCCATTTCTTTATTTGCTGACTAGCTTGCCCTGATTAAGGCATTATTTTGCCTGACAAGTTCTATCAATTTTTCGTCATTCATATTTATTTTAACAACTTCGACTGAACCACGATGTAATAATATTAGCACTATCCATACCGTACTCGACACGTCGCAGCTTGTCGCAGAAAAAATACGTGGCCGGTAATCTTGAACGCGAGGCTTCGGGAATGGTAGGTAAACGGAACGGAAAGTGGGCATATACTATATAATTTGTGTTTAATAATATTTTATGTAAATGGAAAGCCATGGATATGGAAAGTAAACGGAACGTATAGTGAGAATCGACCTTAAGTGGTCCAAGCGTACATGTCCCACTTTTGTTCTAAACCTTATGTAGTTGTTTGTGACAGCCACGTTTTAAAAGTATGCAGGAATATTAATACAATTTGTGAAATAGCCTTAAAATAATGCAAGGTAAGTCTTCAATGCGTTTTATATTTTTTCAATTGTTATTTTATAGGGTTATTTTATTTATTTATGTCTTCAAAAAGTAGTAGTTGAAAGAAACTTATAGCATAACCTTAAAATGTTTCTTTTTTGTTTCAGAATCTGACAGTTATTCGGAATATGACGATTCAGAAGAGGACAGAAACTATAATCCAATAGAAGAAAGTAGTAGCGATAGTAATCATGATCTACAAAACATTGCAGATGTTCATTTAAACAAGTCATTAAAGAAAAAGGGCAAAAAACGTTTGAGATATAGCGATTTAGATAAGAGGCAAGTAAGAAAACGAAAAAGAAATGTAGGTGAGGAATACGTAGGCTATAAAAACAAGTTAGTAAAAGCAAGAAGTTTGCAAAATTATATACATACTTGCAGATTTCAGTGTCAAAAATTCACCGATGATCAAAGACAGGAAATATTTAACCAATTCTGGGGTCTAGGAAATTAGAATCTGCAGAATGCATTCATTACGTCTTGTACAGAGATCGCTTTGCCCAAACGACGACGTACAGAAGCTGTTACTAATAAAGAAAAGAGCGTTACTATCAAACTAAAAAATATGAGAGTTTGCAAAATGTTTTCTTAAAAACCTTGGATATCAGCAATGGACGTTATTCGAGAATTTTAAATGGGATATCTGATGTTGGAATCACCGCTGTTGATAAAAGAGGAAGAGCTCCATGTCCTAATAAACTATCACAGGATGTAATTGATAAGGTAAAACGACATATTGATATGTTTCCAAAATATACCAGCCATTACACCAGACATTACAATCCCCGTAGACGGTACCTTCCTTCATTTTTGACCATAAGAAAAATGTATAAGTGTTACCTAGAGCATTGTCAAGAAAATAACGAAGCTCCTGTCAAGGAATGGTGCTACAGGAGAGTGTTTAATACCGAATTTAATCTAAGTTTTCATCATCCCTTGTCCGATACTTGTAATAAGTGCGATAAGTTCGAAACATCAATAAAATCGTGCATAAGTGAGTCAGATAAAAAGAAAATAATGTGCGAGAGAGAGCTTCATCACCGAAAAGCCGAATCGGGAATACAAGCCAAAAAAGAGGCAAAAATAGTGGCTGAAACTTCAAGGAATGAAGAAGTGGTATCAGTTTGTTTCGATCTACAAAAAACTTTACCTACACCAGCACTTACAACCAACAAAGTGTTTTATATGCGAGAATTATGGACATATAATTTTGGAATCCATAATTTGGGCTAGAAATGTGCTTCAATGTATATGTGGGATGAATCGGTAGCATCCAGAGGCTCTATGGAAGTTTCTTCATGTCTTTGGAAATTTATTGCTGGTCTTAATCAAAATACACGACATCTTATTGCATTTAGTGATTCTTGTTCGGGACAAAATAAGAATAAAAATATTCTGAAATTTTTTATGTATGTGGTTAAAGAAACTCAGCTAGAAATAATAGACCACAAATTCCTTGAACCGGGACATACCTTCATGGAATGCGATGAAGATTTCGGAGTCATTGAAAAGTACAAAAAGCAAGTACCTTATATTTTTGTACCCAGTGAGTGGATGAATGCTGTGAGAAACAGTTCTAAGAAGTTTAAATCTGAAGAAATGAAGATGGAGCACTTCATTTCACTCGAAAACTTCAACGAGTACGTGCAGGAAAATATTAAAAAGGATGATGAGAATAAGCAGATAAAATGGAGAGAAATAAAATGGATTCGGTTTGAGAAGAAAGACCCATTTACTATGAAATTCAAGTACACTCTCAATGAAGAGACTGAATTTATAACTGTTAACTGTATGAAGAAGATGCGTGGAAGAACACCTCAGAATATTAGTCTTAGCAAACTGTATAGTTCACCCATGAGTCTGAAGTATGAAAAATGGAAGAATTTACAAGACCTACTATGCTTTGTGCCACCAATTTACCATCAATTTTACAATCAGCTCAATCACACTGCGAAGAAGGGAAAACAAGGTCAGAAAAAGAAGCCAATGCAACCTGAAGAAAGAAAAGAGAAGGACAATGAAGATGACGATGAGGTAGACGACAATGATAAAATACTTTTGAGCGACTATGATGATGAGGAAGATATTTAGCTCAGTTGGTAGCACGTCTATATAATATCATTTCGTTATTATTTTTATGCATTTTTTGTTCCTGTATTTTTGTGCAATATACATTTTGTTTTCGTATCTAATGTAGCTTCTTAAATAAATGTTCAAAAATTACGTGTATTTCTTTTATAAAAGATATTATTTATTTATTTACTCATGGTAATATTTACTTGTACCATTTTTACTCTAAACAACAAAAATGGTACATGTACATTTTGTAAAAAATGTTTCAAAAAAACTAAATGTATATGATTGTAAAAACTGCACATGAAAACATTAAGAACTTACTAATAATAATATCTTGATTAGATTTTAAAATTTTGTTTGGTCTTTTTGTGCCACTAGTTAAACTTTAACTCTTATTTTCTCAAAACTATCTAACTGTCACTTGTACCATTTTTCCTCTCAGCCCCTCAATTGTGAAAATCAGGTATTAAGTAGATATGTACTTGCTCGAGAAATATATAATGTCACGTCTTAAGAGACATTGAGAAATTTTAAATCCAATGAGTCTCACAGATTTCTCGTTACCTTTTAAAGGTAATTGGGTGTTTTGGACTTCATGATAGCCTCCATAAACGTCCGTGGATAATAATGTGATATTCTACTAAACAATTGTGTTCCTTCAAATAAAATTTAACGGGTGTCTATTTACGATTGTGTTCTGTAACAATTATTGATGTGTCTCAGTGACCAAACCGATAGCTCTTCTTGTGTTCAGTCAAACGGGTATTTACATTGTGTTTTATAATCCCAATGTACACTAAATCGCAGCTACAGAGAATGCGTTAAATTCTTGGTATGGATAAAGTTTCCATTGGATCTTTAGCCGAACCTACACTTGTTTGTATTGAGATCAAAGTGCCACAGTTCAAATTGAAGGGATCAGTCAGAAGAAATGAAGATCTGTAGAGGAGTTAGACAGGGATGCGTTTTATCGCCATTTTTATTTATATATTTTTGAAGAAATTTTCAAAAACACGCTTAATAATATCAAAGCGGGAGTTACCGTTAAAGGAAAATTAATTTTAACAACTTACGATATACAGATGAAACTGTGATCATTGGAATGAGCATATAATACTTACAGAAGGCAGAATTCTTGGTTGAAAAATCTATGGGATTGGTATCAATGCAGATCGATTAATTTGTTTAAAGCAGCAAGTTCCAATATAATAATAACCATTATAATTGCCAATCTCCGTATGTAGACGGCACTCTAAGATTTGTTTATATTACGTTTTTCTATGGATTCAGAGATTAAGTGAAGCAAACGTGGTTTAACTAATTTTATTTAACTCGTTTAACTACAACAACGCACTAAATTACAAATACTACATTAATAATTATCGATTGTAATTCTCACGTATATCGTTTTACAAAACAAACACTTCGCTAATATTCATAAAACTGATTCATCAAAGACCGAATTAGCGCCTTATATAATACAAATATCTGTTCTAAAAATAGCTAGCAGGTGACAGTGTGCGATAACACGAAATTCCAGAAAGACACCGCGACGAAGACATTGATAGAACGGTCAGTGAAATATTCGCGATGGAAAGAGCTTTGCTTCGCGACATACAAGACCCTAATTGGGTGTCACATAACAATATTATCTTCGCTGGTTTGAACTTGATGATATTCTTGCTAATAGTTTGCCAATTCAATCCATCACGTTTTAAGTCTTTCATGTAGTTACATTTATTGGTAGTCGAAAAAAGAACCAACTGAGATAGGCAACATAACCGATTTTGAAAAATCAAATGTACGCATCAAGAGCGCCGATTTCGAATGTTGTTACACGCGCGAAATCAATGTTCAATAAAATTTGTATCAGCTCGACGGAAAAAATTTGATATCTTTTAATCCAAGTGTCATATCGACAAAAATTAAGATGCCTTTTAAAGGTAAAGAGTGCAGCTTTCGTATGCAGTTTCCGTATTTTGTCAAGAATAAACTCAGTTTTTATAAAGGTGTTAAATAAAAATAAACGTAGCGCTTCTTTTGTCATTTTTTACGAATAATCTTTAAAACTTATGACATGAAATTTCAATTTTATGTTGTGGCAACAAATATGAGGCATTTGAAATAAGGATAAAAAATGCAGAATTTAATATTTTACATTACAAACAATCGCACGTCAAGGGAGATCACGTCACAAGAAGAAGGTTTTGGCTGTAGTTTAAAGTTTGGTTCTTTTGAAAAATGTACTAGTGTAATTGGAAAAAAAGTTTTAAGCGTGTTAGATCGTTTTTTATGTAAAAGTTTAAATGCAGCGTTTTTTTTAAGCATATTTTAAATGCCTCATATTTGTTGCCAAAACTCAAAACTAAAATTTCATGCTATAAGTTTTGAAGGTTAGGCTTTAGCAATCGAAACTTCATAGTGGCCAGTCAATGAAAGGGATAGACTGTATTGATCTCATGAGAATAAAAAAATGGCAAAAATCGCGCCACGTTTATTTATTTAACACCTTTATAAAACCTGAGTTTATTTAAGGCAATATACAAAAATTGCATTTTATCCTTAAAACGCATCTTGATTTTTGCCGATAGGTCACTTGAATAAAATATATCGAATTTTTCCAGTCGAGCTGAGACAAATTTTATTGAACATTGATTTCGCGCACGTAACTGACATTCAAAATTGACCGTCGCTTCAAGCGTTGCTTGTGAGAGAACGGTTCATTTTACACAAAAAGTACTAATAAACATTTTTGTTTAAAATTATCTCAGTTATATTTTTTATTTAAAATATTTTTTTCTACAGCATACAGATTCTTGATAAATCGAGTTTTTTGCGATTTCCCCCTACGAGGGGTGATTTAGGGGGAATCCTAAAAGTAAAAGTGGTAAATTTTTTTGCACCTTTTTGAGGTGCCAAAAGTAATATTCTCGGCAAAATTCAGCTTGCTCGTATGATTTTTAAAGGTTCAGTGGCATTTTCGTCTCTGACGACGGGAGTATTAATTTAGAAAATATTTATGTAGCGCACTAGTTTCAAGTTTCCTCTGTTTAATTTGGATATAGCCACTAAATACTACTGTATGTAAAAAAACATACAGAAGTTAAAACACTTCACATTCGTATTTAGGTATAAAACATATAATTAAAACTGTTTTAAAAGTGTCGTCAAAGTTTATACGGTAGCATAACGTGACATTTTCAGTGCTTTCTTATGTAATTAAAGCTAACACTAAATTTGTAGCTGTGACATCCATATATGGTTTTACATTATTGAAAATTTAAATTCTACTGTGACTCTAGGTCGATGATACTGGATAAAAACTAATACTTAAAGAACAACATGTCTCCTTGCACGGCTTGAACACGTGGTTCTTATCAGTTAAAACGACACATACCAACTGAAGTTGATCTGTGTCAGTTGGTCTGTGTCGTAACTGACAAGGACCACGTGTTCAGGCCGAGCAAGGAGACATATTGCTCTTTAAGAATTAATTTTTATCCAATGTCATCGACGTAGAGTCACAGTAGAATTTAAATTTGGAGTAATGTAAAACCATGTATTGATGTCACAGCTACAAATTTAGTGTTAGCTTCAATTACATAAGAAGGTACTGAAGATGATCTAATTAGATCGAAAACGTCACGTTATGCTACTGTATAAGTTTTGACACTTTTTAAAAAAGTTTTTTCTCATTAATTTTTACAACTGTATGCATTTGTACCTTAATAGTACAGCAGCGAAAGGCTTTCAAACAGGTAATAAAAGAGCGTACTGTATTCCCTCAATACAGAGTAATAGTGTTGTCCTTTGTTTTTCGTTAATCTATAGTGACATTGACTCTGTTTAGACGTTTAAATTGTTTCAATTTCAGTTGGTTCTCAAAACACATATGCATGTTCACATATTTGGGTTGCACGATTCGATAACGTTTTTCTCGAGTGGTGACTTCAGTTGTTTTAGTAACTCCAGACTAACTAAATAATTCCAGACCACGACCTATCAACCTGTAAAATATTGTATCCTAAAAAAACACCGGCTGTGAAAGCCTACAATGCTTGATATTTTAAGGATATCTGTATATGATATTAACTTCTGTCACTTATATGTACAGTATGAAAATACTTCTTTGACCAATGACTATAAACTTACTTTATTGTAGTTGTATTTATCAGGGTTGTCTCTTGAAAATTGCCTCAAACATTCCCTTACTTCTTTGCTCTGAGTACAAGTATAAGCCGTAAGTTGAGACTTGTTTTTCAAACAAGGATTTGCGTCATTATCTAACAAGAATTTCACCATATCTATTTGTTCCTTTTGAGCAGCCACATGTAATAAAGTATTTTGACTTTCGTCCACTACCTTGTTGATAAAATCTTGACTATTTTTTTCAACTTCAGGTTCTTCTGATATTTGTAAATAATTATCTAACAAGATCTTTAATTTTTCTATTTGTCCATTGGATATAACACTAATCAGCTCCTTCTTTTTACTGTCTTCCAGCTCTTTTAACTTCTTACTTTTACTTTTCTTCGGTTTTTTCTTCTTTGCAATTTTTTTTCTTTGTTCGGGTGTTAGAGAATCCTCAAATTCTTTCAAACTATGGAAAGATATTTCCTGATCATTAGTAGATATATAAATTTGGTCGGTTTCGGATTCACTGTCGCTAGAAAGGTGCTCAGTGGGTAGAGGTCTTTCTACGGTCTCTCTAGACTTGGCTCTATTGATACAGGAAGTGCGTACTTTGTTTCTTTTAGCATCAACATCGGGAGATATTTGTTTGGAAAAATTTTTAGTTGCTGTTTCCAGAGAATCTACAAAAAACATTTCAAATCTTAGATTTCCTCACATCATTGTCTCAATTTTGAATTCAAGCTCTTTTATACATAGATTTTTGTAAATTGCTTCAAGTTATATTATGAATACTATTGTAAATTCTAATGAAAAATGGAGAAACTCAAAACGACATAGATTTTATTATCACGGACAAAAACCACACCGTTAAAAGCCATCACGGTTCTAAACATATTTGTTACCAGTAGCTATCATAGAATGGTACGAGGTAAAGTAGAAATAATCTTAAAGGAGAGGTATAGGATGATTAAAAAGAAGAAAAAATCAAAACCATGGATGAAATCATCATATGTACATAGTTTGCAGCAATGTATTTGCGATATACTTAGTAGTTCTGAAACAGAAAATAATATAAACCATTTAGATAATAAATTAACAAATGCCTTACTGGAAAGTCAAAACAAATTCTGTCCTAGAACTCACAAAGAAGAGAAGATTAGTCAAAATACCAGGGAACTAATGCAGAAAAGAAGAGAAATGAGAAGCGAGAGGGAAACTAAAGCCGACGAACTACAAAAATTAAATAAAGAAATATACAAAGCTGTTAGACAAGACACTCGAAAATAAAACCAGGAACAAATCGAACATACCATTGAGAACAATAGACGTATGAAAGTAATGAGAAAAAGACTAAGAACGGGGATAAGGCAAATAATAAAGATTAAAGATAGAAATGGTCACCTTACAACCAACAGAGAGCAAACCTATTGTCAACAAAGGATCAGAACTACTACCTAAAATCACAATAGACGAAATAAAACTAGCCCTAAGAAAAGATAAGAATAACAAATCTCCAGGTGAAGATTGTGTAGTTACTGATGCAATCAAAATTGGAGACACTTGCCTACTTTTTGAAAATAAAAAACCTTTTTAACATGTGCCTTTTGGACAGTAATATACCCAACAAATGGCACAATGGTGAGGTAATTCTATTGTACAAAAAAGGAGATCCCCATGAATTAGAAAACTACAGACTTATAAGCCTTCTTAGTCACCTATACAAACTTACTTACTTACTTACTTACTCCGTGGCGTTACAACCCTTCGTGGGTTTTAGCCGACTCGACAACATGCCTCCACTGTTTTCTGTGTACCTAACCTATACAAACTCCTTACAAGAATAGTAACGAATCGTCTTGACAAAAAAACTGGATTTCTAACAGCCAATAGAACAAGCAGGATTTCGTACCGGATTTGAAACAAATGATCACCTACACAGCATTAAAACGGTAATAAAAAATACAATGGAATACAATCGACCACTCGTTCTGGCTTTTGTAGATTTCCATAAAATCTTCGACACGGTAGAATTTGACAAAATCCTGGAAGCACTACAAGCATGCCGCATTGATTACCAATATACAAGGTTAATTTACAATACATACAAGAACGCAACTATGTCTGTGAAACTACATAAAAACACGGATCATATTCCAATCGGCAGAGGAGTCCGACATCGTGATACAATATCGCCTAAACTGTTGGCTAACTGGAAAGAGAGAGGCATGAACTTCAGTTAGTGTGTGCCAGTGTGTGTCTTAAAATAAACATCTCCAAAACAAAATTCATGACAAACCTAGTACCTAGCGGAAATATCAATATTGGAGACAACGAAATATATCTAATGGAAAAACACATCTTGGACACCAAATAAAGATCACAAGAGACAACCAAACATGCGAACTACGAAGAACAATAAGCATAGCATGGGCAGCCTATGGACAACTCAAAGACATCTTCAAAAGCAATATACTAATTTCTTTAAAACGTAAAACATTTGACCAATGTGTGTTGCCTGTGATGACCTATGGTGCAGAAACTTTGACACTGACAGCTTCTTCTTCTTTAAGTTCCATCTTCCATCGAAGGTTGGAAATCATCATGGCTATGCGGACTCTGTTGACTGCCGCTCTAAAAAGTTCTGCACTACTGCATTCAAACCATTCCCTTAAGTTCTTAAGCCAGGATATTCTTCGTCTTCCCACATTTCGCTTTCCTCGGATTTTGCCCTGCATAATAAGTTGTAATAATGCGTATTTTTGCCCTCTCATCACATGTCCCAAGTACTCAAGTTTTCGTCTTTTAATAGTTAATATTATTTCCGCCTCATTTCCTATCCTTCTAGTTACTTCCATGTTTGACATTCTTTGAATTCATGATATTCGTAGGATTCTTCTGTAACACCAAAATTCAAAGGCGGCCAACTTATTCAGATGAACTTGTTTTAGTGTCCAAGCTTCCAGACCATAAAGAAGAGTAGAGAACACGTAACATCGAAGCATTCTCAGACGTAGTTCTAACCTTATATCCCGACAACAAAGAAACTTTTTAAGTTTAATAAATGATGTACGTGCTATTTCAATACGTGTCTTAATTTCTTTGGTTTGGTCTACATCTGATGTTATCCATGTTCCTAATTATTTATAGTTATTAACATTCTCAATTGCATTATCTTAAATAGTCAATTGGATATTTGCATGTGCAGATTTAGTCATGATCATGCATTTAGTTTTCTTTAAATTTATCTTCAGTCCGTACTCATGACAGCATTCATTAAGGCGTTGCATTAGGTTCTGTAAATCATTGTTGTTATCCATAATTATTACTGTATCGTCTGCAAAACGTAAGTTATTCAAAACTTCTCCATTGATAGATATACCTTCTATTGAGTCTGAGAGCGCTTCTTGAAATACCGCTTCACTGTAGACATTGAAAAGTAGTGGGCACGCAACCCTGGCGGACTCCTCTCTGTATTTTGATATTTTCGGTGTACTGGCTGTCAACTCTTACCTTGGCAGTTTGATTCCAATATAAATTAGCAGCAATACACTGACAGCTACAAGTTCTAAAACGCTGCAAATAGCTCAGAGGAAAATGGAAAGGTCAATGCTGATTATATCAATTCGTGACCGAGTTAGAACTAAAGACTTAAGACGAAGAACAGAATTTCCCGAGTTGCCACACTAAAATGCAACTGGGACGGACTCGTCGCCTGAATCAGTGATGAAACGTGGGCGAAGAGATTGCTTGAGTGGAGGCCGAGATTAGACAAAAGAAGTAGAGGAAGACCCCCTACTCGTTGGACTGACGATCTCAAGAAAACGTCAAGAAATTGGATAAAAAGTGCTCAAGATAGAGCACAGTGGACAAAAATGAGGGAGGCCTATGTGCAGCTGTGGATGCAAAGGGCTGGGTGATGATGATTGTAAATACTATAAATCTATTATATAAAAGACCAAAAACCAATCAATATCATCTTTTCCAATAATCGAATGCAGGCAAAGTTAAATGGAAAACTAACAGTCTAGCAAGATGATTCATTAAGCCCACTGCTATTTATTATATTAGATCGTCGGATTTCAATAGAAGTTCGGCCACGATTTCATCCCTTAAAATATGTGAAAACTGTGGGGTTTCCTAGGGATATTTGCGTTAAAATTGAAATTTATTTTGTTAAGAAAATAGGACGTACTGCAACGATTTTCTCCCTTATGTCATTTTACGAATCAATAAGGGAATATTTATTATGTAACAATAAAACACTGAAAACTTTGTTTTCAAACTTCCACAAAATTTATTTTAAATATTATCACTACAGCTGTTTCGGCTGATTGCCTTTCTCAAGTGATCTATTTTAGCTTGGGTTTACAAATTTATAGTGTCTAATGAAATAGGTTGAGGAGGGGAGAACTGTTTGTCTCAAGTTGGTCATTCAGAATTATATCTGTGTTTTTTAATTTGTTGATTTCCATAGATTCTAACAAAGATAGCTTAAGGCCTTTATTTTGAATGTGAAGAATTTTAAATTTTTTATTAAAAGAATGATTATGATCTAGAAGGTGAAGTGCGTATGTCGAATCTGTTTTTCTATTCTTGAAAGTCCTTTTATGTTCTGCTATTCGTTTATCAAAGTTTCTACCAGTTTGACCGATGTAAGTTTTTGGGCAGTCGCCACATTGAACTTTGTACACACCACTATTTAAGTGTTTTTTATTTTGGCTCTTGTTATTTTTAATATATTCGCCTAGGTTGTTATTTGTTCGGAAAGCTGGTGTTATTCCTTTCTTTTTTATGTGTTTGGCAATTTTTGTTGTTATTTTGCCTGTATATGTAATCGAGCAGAAGGTACTGAGTTTTTTCTCTGGTGGTGGAAATACTAATTTCAGGGCTTTCTTGTGTAGTTTTTGATTTAACATTTTATTAATTGTTTGTTCGTTGTATCCGTTGTTTACTGCTATCTGCTTAATTATATTTAATTCTGTCTCAAAGTTGTATGTTGACATCGGAATTTCTGTTAATCTATGTAACATACTATGATAAGCTGCCAGTTTATGTTGTGTTGGATGGGATGACGAATTGTGTATAGTCGTGTCAGTATGGGTAGGTTTATGAAATATGGAGAAGTCATGTTTGTTTTGAAATCTGCTAATTTTTAAATCTAAAAAATTTATGGATTGATTTTGTTCTGTTTCTATTGTAAATTCAATATGACTATGAAGTGAATTAATATATGATAAAAATTGGTCGAGTTGCCTGTTAGTTCCTGTGAAACATACCAGTACGTCGTCTACGTATCTCCACCAATATAAAAACTGTTTGAATACGGGATGTTTTGAAATCTTTGTCTCTAGATGATCCATAAAAATATCTGATAGCAATGGGCTTAGAGGATTACCCATTATAAGTCCTGCACTGTTATTTGTCTAAATTTTATTATTAAATTCAAAGTAATCCTGGTTTATGCAAACTTCAAGAAGATGTAAAATTTCAGATGTAATTATTGGATTTGTACTATTTTGGTCTAAAAGGTTTTTTACTAGAATAAAAGTTTCTGTAGGAGGGATACTAGGAAAAAGATTTTTTACGTCAAATGAAATTAATCTGGAGTTGTTAGGTAATTGAAAATGTTGTATTTTATTAACTAGTTCTATTGTATTTTTTATGGTAAATTTAGGTGAAAATTTAGTGTGGTTAGAAAAATTCAAAGATCAGAAAATTCAAAATCAATACTAAATCCAATAGAACAGAAATACCTCAGTATCATGAACCCACAGCCTCCTAAATTATATTCTTTCATTAAACTACACAAACCGGATCACCCAATAAGACCTGTAGTTTCTTTTTATACAGCTCCGTCATATAAAATTTCAAAAAAACTGTTAAGAGATAATTTCAGACCACACTAAATTTTCACCTAAATTTACCATAAAAAATACAATAGAACTAGTTAATAAAATACAACATTTTCAATTACCTAACAACTCCAGCTTAATTTCATTTGACGCAAAAAATTTTTTTCCTAGTATCCCCCCTACAGAAACTTTTATTCTAGTAAAAAAACTTTTAGACCAAAATAGTACAAATCCAATAATTACATCTGAAATTTTACATCTTCTTGAAGTTTGCATAAACCAGGACTACTTTGAATTTAATAATAAAATTTATACAAATAACAGTGCAGGACTTATAATGGGTAATCCTCTAAGTCCATTGCTATCAGATATTTTTATGGATCATCTAGACACAAAGATTTCAAAACATCCCGTATTCAAACAGTTTTTACATTGGTGGAGATACGTAGACGACGTACTGGTATGTTTCACAGGAACTAACAGGCAACTCGACCAATTTTTATCATATATTAATTCACTTCATAGTCATATTGAATTTAAAATAGAAACAGAACAATATCAATCCATAAATTTTTTAGATTTAAAAATTAGCAGATTTCAAAACAAACATGACTTCTCCATATTTCATAAACCTACCCATACTGACACGACTATACACAATTCGTCATCCCATCCAACACAACATAAACTGGCAGCTTATTATAGTATGATACATAGATTAACAGAAATTCCGATGTCAACATACAACTTTGAGACATAATTAAATATAATTAAGCAGATAGCAGTAAACAACGGATACAACGAACAAACAATTAATAAAATGTTAAATCAAAAACTACACAAGAAAGCCCCGAAATTAGTATTTCCACCACCAGAGAAAAAACTCAGTACCTTCTGCTCGATTACATATACAGGCAAAATAACAACAAAAATTGCCAAACACATAAAAAAGAAAGGAATAACACCAGCTTTCCGAACAAATAACAACCTAGGCAAATATATTAAAAATAACAAGAGCCAAAATAAAAAACACTTAAATAGTGGTGTGTACAAAGTTCAATGTGGCGACTGCCCAAAAACTTACATCGGTCAAACTGGTAGAAACTTTGATAAACGAATAGCAGAACATAAAAGGGCTTTCAAGAATAGAAAAACAGATTCGACATACGCACTTCACCTTCTAGATCATAATCATTCTTTTAATGACAAATTTAAAATTCTTCACATTTAAAATAAAGGCCTTAAGCTATCTTTGTTAGAATCTATGGAAATCAACAAATTAAAAAACACAGATATAATTCTGAATGACCAACTTGAGACAAACAGTTCTCCCCTCCTCAACCTATTTCATTAGAGACTATAAATTTGTAAACCCAAGCCAAAATAGATCACTTGAGAAAGGCAATCAGCCGAAACAGCTGTAGTGATAATATTTAAAATAAATTTTGTGGAAGTTTGAAAACAAAGTTTTCAGTGTTTTATTGTTACATAAAATGAATTTCCATCAAGTAACGGTCGAATCCATCAATTATCGAATATTTATTATTTTTTTTTAATTTTGGCATAAAGGCTACTGGTGCCCTAAGAGTGTTAATTATTATCTAAACATGTAATGTTAATTGGTCAGTGTCCATGAAGGCATATAGGCAGGTCGTGAAAACAAAAAATTGTTTGATAAAACTTTATTAAACGCAAAAAATTCAATTGTCAGAAAAGCGAGCCCAGTTCAACTCTAAATTTTCTTTTCTTTTTGCTTATCTCATATGACATTTTCAGTACACAAAAAGGCATAAGGGATAAAATCGTGGTTGAACTTCGTATTGAAATCTGTCAGTCTATAATAATGGACAAAATAATGCAAGCAGAACTTCAAGGTGGTGGGGAACAGAGAGATCCAAATGATATGCTATGGAAATGACGCTGCACTAGTCATCCAGACCGAAGATGATCTCCATAATTATAAGAGTGAACAGAGGCGTTGGCCTTCTAATGTTTTTTAGTCTGTTTTTTATCGACAATTACTCTTCCATGAGGTATTTGTAACCTATAAGACGTTAGTTTTTAATCATTGTAATAATTGTAAAAAACAAATTTCTCTTAAAATATTGTTATTTATAGGAAGCTCTGAAGATGGCATGTTATATGTCGAAAGTACTCAGCTGATTTTAATTAAAATTTTACACACTATGAAGTTTTTTGAAAACGTACACCTGTTGCCAGTTTGACCTATATTTTAGAAGTGTGTACAAGTCATACAGTATTTTTCCAAATAAATATAACACAGACAAACAAACAAATCGGACATGTCCATTATTAACAAAGGATTTCTGTACTTGACGGATATAGGTGCAAATTTTTTACAATTTTTGTATTTGCGAGCAAAATAAAAATGAAATCAAGCAGGCTGACACAAACGGTTCGTCTAAGAACTAACTGAGCAAAAGTCTAGGATACATTACCAAGATTCGTCAACTAAAGAACTACAACTAAATTGAGCGAAAAATTGGGGGAAAACGTGGTATAGGAAGAAATAATCAATCGTGGCTCAGGAATAAAGGAAACTGGACCGAACTGAAGGAAATGATCTCATAAACCAAGCCCACAATAGACAGAGTTTCTCACATTGGTCGCCAACCTCAATAGAGATGGTATACAGAAGGAGGATGCCAATACCTAGATAAACTTTAATAAAGGCAATTGGAATGAATATACTTCATGCTTAGAAAAAATCATTAAATGGATTCCATCAGAAATCAGTAACTGGGATCTCTTTAGAAAAGCTATCATCCCATCAATGACGATCTTGTCCATGAAAGAATTAAACATTGTGGAGACCTTTAAATAATAGTTAAAGTTACAAAAAGTAGAGAATTACAGAAACAACTATTTTTGTTCTAAAATCTGTAAAATCGATGTACCAAGTAGCTTGAATTAAAAAACTTAGAGATTCAAAAAATATATGCCGAATAGAGCATAATTCCACTTTTCTGAATAGATTAATATACTGATCACACTTACCGTAAACATTTACTGTTGTTAATAACTGATGTACCCTTTTTAGTTCCGTGAAAGTAGCTCTTCTGGTCGAAAAGGGAATGGTTCTTAATTTAGGATTGGCTCTATCTAGCAAAGGTGTACTTCCCCCAAATAAAACACCTCTGTTGTAGGGTCCGGCGGCACGATACATAATTAAAGAGCTGTTTTCTATTTCTGTTTTCCACGTTTCCACGATAGACTTAACATGCTGAAATATAATTTAATGAAACGAGGAATGAGATACAGAATAGCATTTTCGCAGGATATTTTATGCAGATGTTGGATTTAACTCCAACTTTCTGGATTTATTATGGATTCTACAATTAGGTACTGTGAATACTGCTAACAGCTGTGAATGGAAGTAATCACAATTAATATCACGGTTACATAAATAAAACTAAAAAGATATAGAATCCAATAAAAAAAGGAATTGTTACCAATTTTTCATTCATATTATAATAACTGTTATTACCTGCACTAAAGCTTGTTCGTTATATCTTCTCAAAGATGCGCCAGCGCTCTTAGGTTGAGATCCACCCGACTTGTTATCCCTGGCACCCTGTGAACCACCCTGGCCGGCTCTGACGGTGTAACAATGGAACGTCTTGTGTAAAATGGGTTCGGTTCCTTTGAAGACAGCCCCAGCAAAGTGTCCTCCGCCAAGCATGAGTATGGTCCATTGTTGGTTGGTTACACAGTTTCTCAAACGGTTTAAGATGACATTTTCTGAGATTTCTTCCTGAAAAAGTACAAAACATTACTCAAAAAACATAAGGTAAATGTAACAAAAAACGAAACGTAAATGGTGATGAGTTAGAGAATCGTTCACCAGAATATATCAAAAACTGTTAAATATAACATTGGACAATATATTCAGGAAACTCTATTGGGAGGAATAAAGTAATAAAATTAGAGAACAGTTCTCCTGAAACATCAAGACGAAGCAGAACTAATCTGACTTAACAATGGCAAGTGTTACCTTGCCGAAACGTCGTCAAAACAATGGTTTTTCTAAAAGAAAATATTTGGCACTATAAACGATAATCTACTACTAACCATAATCCTTGAAAAGTTGGAAATATTTGAAACCACCTGTAAATAGTTTTAAGATTATTTTATTTGTAGAATACTGTTACGATTTTAAATGTTATGGCATATAGATATAAACATTATAACAGATATAAACCAAAAAATGCAGAGATGGACACAATATATAGCACAACTATTTGAAGACAAAGAGAGAACAGAAGCACCAAAAGAATTTAAGGATGATACTGGGCCTGACATTATACGAGAAGAAATTGAATATGCAATGAAACAAGCTAAAGATGGTAAATCTCCCGGGCCTGATGAAGTTCCTATCGAATTACTTAAAATTGTGAATACTGAATCTATTGATCTTCTTTTGGATCTATTCAATACCATATATAGAACAGGTATAATACCTAAAGAATGGCTCCAATCAACATTCATACTGCTTCCCAAAAAAGCCAATGCAAAGGAGTGCAATGAACATCGCACCATAGCCTTAATGAGTCATGTCTTGAAATTGTTTTTAAAAGTAATTCACAATAGAATACATAAGAAATTAGATGAAGGCATAAGTAATACACAAATGGGATTTAGGAAAGGACTGGGAACACGAGATGCACTGTTTGCAGTAAGTGTTCTTTCGCAGAGATGCTTAGATATTAATCAGGAAGTATATGCCTGTTTCATTGATTTTGAGAAGGCATTTGACAGAGTGCAGCATAATCGACTTAAAGAAATTTTATTAAATAAAAACATAGACAGTAGAGACATTAGAATCATCTGTAACCTCTATTGGAATCAAACAGCAAAAGTGAAAGTTGAAAACGAACTGACCAAGGATATCCAGATTCGCCGTGGGGTCCGCCAAGGGTGTATTTTATCACCCTTGTTATTCAATTTATACAGTGAAGCCATCTCAGAATTAGCGCTTGCCGAGATCAGTGAGGGCCTTATAATAAACGGTGAGCCACTTAATAACATAAGATATGCTGACGACACCGTCCTTTTGGCAGGAACACTAGAAGAACTGCAACACCTTGCTGAACAACTAAATATATATTGCAACGATTATGGACTAAAAATCAATTTGAAGAAAACCAAGTTCATGGTATTTACAAAAGCACAAAACATCAAAGTTAAGCTAGTACTAGATAATACAGAAATTGAACAAATATCTTCGTACAAATACCTTGGAGCATGGATCACAGAAGATACTGATCAGACAAAAGAAATAAGATGCCGCATTGGAATTGCGCGGTCAACTTTTAATAGAATGAGAAAACTTTTTTGTAATCGCGATATCAATATATCGCTCCGGATAAGAATGCTTCGATGTTATATTTTCTCTACCCTCTTGTATGGAGTTGAAGCTTGGACACTTAAAAAATCCAACATTAAAAACCTAGAAGCATTCGAAATGTGGTGTTACCGACGCATTTTGAAAATATCATGGATGGATCGCAAAACAAACGAACAAGTTCTCGAACAACTAGGAAAACAATGCGAAGTTTTAAATTCCATAAAGATCAGGAAATTGGAATACTTAGGGCACATCATGAGAGGTGAAAAGTACGAAATACTAAGGAACATAATGCAGGGTAAAATCAAAGGTAGAAGAAGCGTAGGAAGACGTAAAATCTCGTGGCTACGCAATCTCCGTGAGTGGTTTGGATGCAGTTCAATTGAACTATTCAGGCGAGTAACCAATAAAATTATAATTGCCAGAATGATTTCCAATCTCCGATAGGAGTGGAACTTGAAGAAGAAGAAGAAGGCATATAGAACTGTAAATATTTTATGACTAATTCTTTTTTATTGATTCTCGTAATTTGTAGGTCAAAATCTACCTGAGCTTCGATACCAGTTGTTTACAGAATAATCTAGACCCTAATTTTAGTGAGTCATCCACGACTCGAAGTTGAAAAAGAACTAGTCTCAGCGGTTAATTGCCTTCACCGAAAAAACCAGTATATTCCATGGGTTCGTTGCAAAAGTAGGTCACCGAACTTTCCAGATAGCGGAAGTTTCTTTATATATAAAGACGAAATTTCATTGAGGAGTTAGTAATAAGAAGATCGGGAAACGCGGTTTACTTGTAACGAAACGTGAAATAATTACATTTGTACAGCTATTTAATAAATTAGAATAAAGACAAATAAATCAGAACTATATAAATATACCACAGTGGTGTCAGGTGTGGGGTTGTAGATAAATTTAATTTGATTTTTGAAAAAGACTTTTGAACTTTTGAAAGGTATTGTTCGTCGGGAACATCCGCGTAGTTCAGTAGTGATCGTTGTACGAAAGAACATTTAAAAAGTACGTGTGTGCCCGACCAAAGATGCTGCTAGTACAACTTTCAGTAAAACAGTTGCGTGAGCAACTTGAAGAACGCGATGAAGACTGCAGCGGGTCCAAGAAGATCCTCCAAGAACGACTAAAGAATGTTCTTAACAAGAATGGAGATGACCCAGAGACATTCCATTTTCAATCAGCAGAAGAAGCAGTTTTAATAAAGATAGAAGAAACTTCTAAGAAAAATGATATTAAGTTCGATACGGTTTCCAAAAGATTGGATGAAACGTCTTAAATTATTAAAGAAGTAGGTAGACAAAACGACGAGAAACTCGAAAATGTGTCTAGAAGATTCGACGAGAAATTTGAAAATGTTTCTCAAATGATGGAAGAAACTTCTAAAAATAATAATGAGAAATTTGAAGAAGTCTCTAAAACATTTGATAAAGTTGAAGAGAAAATCAAACAGTTAGAGACCATGATAACTAACACGAGAGTGCTACCACCAATTAATACGGTAGCTTTAGATCCGGTAGAGATAAAAGAAGACGAGACGAAATGTAAGTTGGAAACACGGCCGAAATTTGAAGGAAGTGGAAGTTCCGTTCATGTCAAAGTCCCAACTTTCGACGGAAAATCATCATGGAACAACTACATGAAACAGTTCGAATCAGCTGCAAGAGCGAATGGATGGTCAGAAAAAGAAAAGGCTGTAAACCTGACTATAGCTCTTCGAGGAGATGCCTTAGATGTGCTCCAGACCATAGCCGTAGAGGAGACGGATGATTTCGAACAACTGAAGAAGAGGTTAAATATGCGATATGGCCACGAACACTTGGAACATGTATATCAGTCGCAGCTCAAAAATCGAAGACAAAAGAAAGATGAGGCTCTTCAAGAATATGAAGTAGATATCGCCAGATTAGTGCGATATGCTTATCCAACAGCTCCCGAAGACATGATGGAAAAGTTGGCCATTCAAACGTTTATTGATGGTCTTCGTGATCATGAAATGCAGAGAACACTACGATTAGCTCGTCACAAGACGCTGATGGATGTCTTATCTGCCGCCCTCGAATACGAGTCAGCTACGCAAGCCTCTGGCGGGTATAGCAAAGTTAGAACTGTAAAAGAGGAAGGAGATGAAGATAAACTTGACCAGCTCGTTAATATGATGAAAAGCATGACATACAAGAAAACGAAGACCATAAGATGCTGGAATTGTGGCGAAATAGGACACGTACGAAGTTCATGTAAGCATCCTAGGTACGACACAAATCAAGAAACTCACCATCAGGAAAACTAGAACGGGTCGGCCTTAGGGGGGCAGCTTCGACCCAGAACTTTTCCAAAGACCCTCTCATACTAATAGCTTCTTTGAAATGTCGTGAAGATAGTGTATATGTAGATGGAGAAATAAATGGTAAAAAGCATACGTTGTTGGTGGATACTGGAGCGACCAGAACCATTATACGCCCGACAGTTATAAACAGCCGAAAGAAACTGTTACCAACAAGGTTGCGACTTCGGACCGCCACAGGTGAAAATGCCAACATTCATGGAGAAATCCAGGTACAATTAGGAATTGGAGCAGAAAAGTTCGTCCATACTGTTATAGTTGCTGACATCGAAGAGGATGTTATATTAGGGATGGACGTAATGAATACGCATGGATTCCAATTGGATTTTAAGAATAAGGTCATCAAAGTTGGTAACGAGGAGGTATTTCTCCATCCACATGATGACAACACTATGCAAGCAGCCGTTAAAGAAGATACAGTCGTGCCTGCGAGAAGTGAAACGATAATAGTAGCGCGGCTACAGGGAATTGTGGACGAAGGAACACCTGTTATGATGGAGCCTCGGAATCATGACGACGAAGTTGGCCGTGGAATCATAATTGGAAAGGAATTAGTGACTTCGGCTAAAGAAATTCCTGTGAGACTTATTAATGTCAATGACTACCCAGTAACCATCAAGAAAAAGACAAAAGTAGGAACTTGTGTACCTGTCACATCCATAATCCGTCAGACGACAACGTCTGATAATTCCAACGATAAATTTGATCAAATGGTTGCGGTTGCTGGACAGTCTCTGAATCAGATTGAGAAAAGGAAATTAAGGGAATTTCTTCGGCAGTATCGTGATATTTTCGTACCGAAAGGAGGAAAGACGGGAAGAACTACCGTTGTTAAGCATAAAATTGATACTGGTAATGCTAAGCCAATTCGTCAAACAGCTCGACGATTACCACAGGCGAAAAGAGAGGAAGCTGAAACGATTGTTCAGGAAATGAAGAAAGACGGGGTGATAGAACCTTCTACGAGCCCATGGGTCTCTCCGGTGGTCCTGGTTAAGAAGAAAGACGGAACAACGAGGTTCTGTGTGGATTACCGTTTGCTGAACAACGTT